CAGAAAGTGCCCAGTGCCCGAGAGAACACTTTGAAATCGGCACAGAACATTATTCTAATACAAAAAAAGCATCAAAGAGCTGCAGGAACTGCGATTTACAAGAAAAATAATTTTACTGTGATAACCCTTTGGCAAACATCAATCATTGTAGAAATAGGTAGATATAAAAATCTATATAGGTGTGTGTGTGTGAGTGTGTGTGTGTGTGTGATATTGTGTCAGTTAAATAATAGCTTAAACAAACTGCCCCAAAACTTAGTGGCTTAAACCTAGCAAATCCACTTTTGGGAATATATCCAAAGAAACCAGAGACACTAATTCGAAAGAATACATGTGCCTCTATATTCATTGCAGTATTATTTATAATAGCCAAGATTTGAGGCAGGCCAAATGCCCATGAGTAGATGAGTGGATAAAACGACTATAATACATTTATACAATGAAATACTACTCAGCTGTAAAAAAGGAAGAAAATTGTACTCTTTGCTAAAGCGCGGATGGACCTGGAGAGCATTATGCTAAGTGAAATAAGCCAGTCAGAGAAAGACAGTCCTATATGATTTTTACTTACATGTGGAATCTAATAAACAAAAGAAATCTATAATAAATAAATAAATAAATAAATAAATAAGCAAATAAATAAATAAATAAAACGCCAATTAGACCAGACAGCTGAACAACCTTCCTGACATTCTTCTGGACTAAGCCACCGCGGTGGGGGCCAAGGCAGTTAGGGGCAATCAGGCAGGCAGGCGAGTGGCTAGGAGCCAGCAATCCCAGATTAAGAGAGGGTGCAGGCCGAGCCGAGGGACTTCTCCCCCATCCCACATGCATGAATTTTGTGTACCAGGCCTCTAGTTAACAAATAAAATAGAAGCATACAAATACAGAGAACAGACTGACAGCTGTGAGAGAGAACGGGGATGGAGTCTGGGTGGAAAAGATGAAAGAATTAAGAGAGAAGAAAAAAAAGTAAAAACTCATAGACACACACACACACAAAACAATACATTTTATTTTTACTGCTTTTTCCACTTAAGAGAGATCGCAAGTAATAGCGGTTAACTATTCTCCAAAATGTCTACATAAAGACATTTCCTGTTCACGCCTCAGAAAAAGTAGATCAATGCTATCTTTTCAAATATTCCTCTCTTCCCTTTGCTACTGTTTTTTCCTGTCACTTAGCACATTGATTGAGTCTTGTACTATAACTTCTCTGTGCATGTCCCTGAACTCTTAAATCCAAGCCAACCGACGACCCGCCTCCGGTAACACTGCCTACACGAATCATTTGCTGATTCTGATACCTGCCCAGTTGTATCACAGCCCCGTGAAACTTTAGGCTAATCCCTCAATCTCTCTGTTGCTCAGTTTCTTCACTCTTCCGGAAGACTGGGTTCAACAACACCGAAAACAACAACGATTCCCGTGACTCATCAAATTCTCCTCTAGCCGTCACCTCTCCCACCAAGTTCATTCCCACACGTAGACCTGCCTGAGGGACATGCACTTGGCTGCAACACCGCACTGTACTCTTTTTTCTCCTAAAAGAATACAGAATGATGACAGGAAAGGGAAGGTGACTTCCTCTGGTATGTGGGTTGTGGGATTAATCCAGGTCTCTATTTCTGACACATACTGTACCTCCGCGAGATTCAGGCCTGGCCTCCGAAGACCCTTTCCTCCTTCTCCTCTTCCTCCTCCTCCTCCTTCCGAAGTTTAAAAATCTTGCTTCCTTCTCAGCTGTTAGTCTGGGGGAGGATTTGTTTGCGGTTGCTAGTGTCCAGTTGTTGGGTTGCTAGGTCAGTGGGGCTTACTGTGTGGGTGGGGACAGGGCCTATTTTGTTTGTTTTATAAATAAATGCCAACATTTGTTCCACGTGCCTCTTTCTTTGACCATCTGACAGCATCCCTTGTCCCCTACTCGTCCGGGGGAAAGTGTATGCTTTTATCTTGGCAGTGAGAAGGGCTATGGAGCCCAAGCACCCATGAACTGTGTCCACAAAAACATATTAGCAGTCACGTGGTTTGTTGTGTGTACTTTACTGTAAACAAGTGACTCAGATCATAAGTCCCATTAGGACTAGAAATAGTCATTCATAAACAACATTAAAGGGGGAAAGTGAACAATTACGCTATCCTCTTTAAATGGCCAATTCCTCTGAAACAGATAAATTATGCAAACTCAACACCACAATAGCCAAGAGATCAAAGTTTACATCTCCAATAAGTGGACAAGAATATAGTATGTGTTCTCCTAATTATGATACGCCAATCAGGGCATCATTTATGTAGTATTCCTGTCCCAATCAGGAGGAAACATCATACAAACCCAAACTGCTATAAACTAACGAGACTATAATTTTCCCAAATGTCAATATGATGAAAGACAGAGAAGAAGAGGAACGATTCAGAGACTAAACAGACATACGCACAATGTGTAATCCTGGATTAAGTCCTTGATTGGGGAGGGACTAGGAGGAGGATGCTATAAAGGGCATTATTGGGATAATCACAGAAATTTGAAGATGGACCTACATTACATAAGAATATTACATCAATGGTACAATTCCTGTTTTTGTTAATTGTGCGGTGATTGAGAAAGAGAATGTCCTAGTTCTTAGGAAAATATTTAGGGAAACAGGGTATGATGTTTGCACCTTTCAAACAACTAGAAAGTATCTAATCCAGAGAAAGACAAGCTAATGTGACTAAATGTTCGTAAGAGATGAATAGAGGCGAGTTGTATTCCTGCAACTTTTCTGTAAATCTGAACTTATTTCAAGTAAAACATTAATTAAAAAAGTTTTCAAATGTGAACTGGAAGATTAAACTTGGATTGCTTATTTTTAAAAGGACTTTGATTGTGCAAGTCTCCACCATTAAGTGCTGTGAGATTTGTGTGTTTTTGTATTTCTCAGGATCCAGCCTTTTTCCGTATTTACTAAGAGTTTCCTCTCTTCTGCTGGTACTCACCCCTGCACATCCCAAATGTAAACAGAAAGAAGACTTTCACACGCGCGCTTTGTCCTTTGTGTATCATTTCTTCCTCTCGGGGCAAGGAGCCTACGCCCTCTCCGATGGACTGCCTGTGACAGTTACTTTTCTTCACCCAAACAGCCAGAGTCCCTGTGACCTGACCTAGCTCACAAAGTACACTCACTCTGCTTATAAAAAAAACGGGAAAACAAACTGCCCCACCGAGTGTCCTGCTGATATACTTGGAACCTGAAGTTTAAAATTTCTCAGTAGAGTCTGCCCAACTAACCACACAATCATACTTACTAACACAGAAAACTATTAACCCGAGAGTCATACACCTACATATAAGGGCTAAAACTATGAAACCAATAAGCACACATAAAGATGCCTGAAATCATCAGCCATTGGGGAAATGCAAATCAAAACCACAATCAATTACTATTTCACACCCACTGGGATGGCGACAATAAAAAAGGTGATAGAAAGTGTTGGCATGAATATAGAAATATTGAAACTTCAACATTACTGGTGGAGATGTAAGATGGTGCAGTTGCTATAGAAAATTGGCAATTCCTGCCGAAACCGGTTTGGCTCAATGGATAGAGCGTCGGCTTGGGAACTGAAAGGTCCCGGGTTCGATTCCGGTCAAGGGCATGTACCTTGGTTGCGGGCACATTCCCAGTAGGGGGTGTGCAAGAGGCAGCTGATCGATGACTCTCTCTCATCGATGTTTCTAACTCTGTATCTCTCTCCCTTCCTCTCTGTGAAAAATCAATAAAATATATTTAAAAAAAAAAAAAAAAAAAAAAAAAAAAAAAAAAGAAAATTGGCAATTCCTCACATGTTAAAGTTACCATGTAGCAAAGCAGTTATATGCTTATGTATGTTATATATAGCAAGAGGAATGAGAACATATGCCTACACCTAAAAAATTACTGTTCAAAGCATCATCATTCATACTAGCCCCAAAGAGAAAACTACTTAAATGCCAATCTATCAATTGATGAATGGACAAGATGTGGCATATCCATACAATGGAATATTACTTGCCAATAAAAAGGAACAAGTATGGATACATGCTCCAACATGAGCTTTAAAACATCTTGCTAAGTGAAAAAAGCCAGTCACAAGCAGCCACATATCGCATGGGTCCATCTATTTGGACTCTCCAGACCGTAATAACTCCAAATCCACTGCCTCTCACAGCTCTAACAATCCATCCCTCTTAGCTGGTGTGTCACCAAACAGGCACTTTTCACCACCCCAGTTCAAATAATCCAGTCTCATGAAATTAATTTTTTTAAAAATCACCTAAAAATTTCTCTCTCCAGCCCTCGTTCATTCATTTACCCATATCATCTTACAATTCCCTCACGTCAGGGAGATGGAACATCTTTTCAGACTCCTAGAGTAAGCAGCTCTCTCGCCAACTGCAGAGCGCCACCTAGTTGCAACACCGGGTAACGCACACTGGCAGCAGGAAGATCACTCTACCTAACGGAAAAGCACTTGAGTGAAAGAAGCCACACAATCGGCCAAAACCGGTTTGGCTCAGTGGTAGAGCGTCGGTCTGCCGCCTGAAAGGTCCCAGGTTCGATTCCGGTCAAGGGCATGTACCTGAGTTGCGGGCACATCCCCAGTAGGGGTTGTGCAAGAGGCAGCTGGTCGATGTTTCTCTCTCATCGACGTTTCTAGCTCTCTGTATCTCTCCCTTCCTCTCTGTAAAAAATCAATAAAATATATTTAAAAAAAAAAAAAAGCCACACAATCGTTTTGCAGAGCAATGCAATGGTTTCATGTGTGCATCTTATCACCTTAGCTAGTTTAGCTCATGGTCTTACATGCATGTATTAGTCATTTCGAATGGACTAAGTCAAATTTCATTTCCAAATTGGGTTAAGCCTATAAATTCACGTGTAGATGGTTAAAAATACTATGACAGTGTTTTGAGGTTTATTGTAAGTAAGTAAACAGGAGAGAGAAGTATAAAATGAAAAGAAATGTCATCATTTACTCACATATAATGGAGCTTGCTGTGGATTAAGTTTCATGACCCAGGACACTGAAAAAGAGAAGGGGGAAGAAATAAATGAGAATGAGAATAAAAGCTATTGCCAAAAATATAAAAACCACCTACAGTCTTAGATGCCGGGCGTGGCTATCTGGGCACAAGCAGAAGTCCAAAATGCTGGGTTTCAGAAGGGGAGGTCCTTTGCCAAATACCCCAAATTTGAGGATAAATTGATCCCATCTTCATAAGTCAGAGAAGCAGGCCAAAATAATTTCATTATAACTTGACCTAAGAAGTCTTACCTGTCCATAATAGGAAACTGAATTAAAGCACATACTAACCAGCAATGTAAACAACAGTACAGAAATGTCATTCTTACATGAAAAAAATAGATAAAAACCCCACGCTTTGTGTGCCATCAGGATCACAGAACCTCATTAAGAACAAAATGAAGTCCACACAGAATAAAGAAGAGGTAATCAATGACCAAACGTTTAGAATAAACAACGGCTTAGCGACGGCACATAATTTAAAGGACAAAATTCTCTCGCTATTACAATCTTCAGGGATCTGCCAGTTTGGACAAGAGGCAGGATAATGCCAACAGCCAGCTGGCTGACCACCTTCATGCCCACCTTAGCTCATTCTCTGGTCCACCCCACACACTCAGGGTCATCTCTCCTTCCTGCCTGCCTCCATTTAACATTTGTGTACTCTCGGGTGCTAAAATCACCTGCAGAAATCCACAATGAACGCTAAGCTTGAGAAATATAGCAAGAACCAATAGAGAAATCAAGATTTCCAGCCCATCAGATTCAAATAGCAAAGCATGGATTAAAAAGAGAGACTGGAGCGCTTGAGTACTTTCTCAGTGTGTTGAATACCCATTTAATTTAAAATTAAGCTCACGGTGCTCACTGGACTTTTAATCAGCTTTCTAGGTCCTGTTCAGACTTGCCTTTGAAACAAAGGATTCAAAGACCCTATAAATTTATGGACCAATTTGCCTGAACTTAAGTGTTCTTGCTGTCACAAGCAGAAGAAATGACAGTGGAAACTAAAACATGAATTAAAACTTTGGTAGTCTGCCCAGGCAGTGATGGCTGAGCATCAACCTATGAACCAGGAGGTCACAGTTAGATTCCCGGTCTGGAAGTTCAACCAACCAGGAGTTCAACTGCTCACTCTGACATGCATGACCACCAGGGGATGGTGCAGAACGAAGAAAGGCCACGATTGGTCCTGATCACTGGCCAGGCGGAGGGACCCTATCTGTGCACAAATTTGGTGCACCAGGTCTCTAGCTTCTTAATAAGTAAAGGAAGCAATGTCACCTCATTTGTCAGCTTTAGACATCTCAATATCATCCATTAACAAAAGGACACTTCTCAATACAGGAAAGGCATAAGGTGCTACACAATATTCTCTAGACAAGAAATCTAGTTAAAGGGGTAGGCATCCCAAGCTCTTTACTGATTAACTTTGAGCAAGTCACTTCACTTGCCTAACTCTGTCTCCTCATGTTGTTTCTACACATAAGGCACAGTAACCGCGGCCTGTACTGTAGAGTTGGTGACAAAATGATAAGAGATAATCCAAGTGAAATGCTTAATTAAGCACTCTGCCATCTCAGAGCGGAAGCTACCGTCTCTTCTTCCTCGCAGAGTTTCTGGCTCTCACTGGAGACTTCCAAGTAAAATCCCCTGGTAACCATAATGGTTAAATGAAAGGCTGCAGGTACATCAGAGAGGTATTTGTGTCTGAAAACATGCTGGTGGGTAAATTACAATTCAAACATAGAAACCAAATAATCATAGGAAAGAATCTGGAGGGACAAATACCAAGATGGTAAGTATGCATATTTCTGGGAATTACAGGGAATTTTCATTCCTAAATTATCGGTTTCTTCATCACAACTATTCAAACAATGAACAGATACTATTTTTTTTTATTTTTTATTTTTGTAATCGGGAAGAAAGCATCACACACAGCACATCTCTTTTAAGTCCTCTGCCATTAAATGTTTCACAACTGAACTGAAAGTGAGTAAAAAGACATTTTTTTTCCTACCTGTGCAAACCGAAGAAATCTACAATTAACAGTCCCTAAAGCTAATGTAAAAAGGCAATGAAACCATAATTAATAAAATAAATAAATTTAAAAATAATAATAACAATAGAGATTTAAAAAAAAAAAAAAAAAAGGCAATGAAAACAAAAATGTCTGTCCCGTGTGTAGTACATAAACCAAACTCATTGTGGTTTAGCCACGCCCACAAGTTATCCTGGGGAACCTTTTCACAGGAGCCCCACAATTAATGAAAGTAATTGAAGCCTGTGGTTGTGGGGTTCACAGGCCCCCAACACTGTACCAGGTAATTATGCTGCAAACTGTAACCTGTTGGCTTGGTGATCCCGGCCCATTTTCTAGAATCGGCTGCTTTAGGTTTGACAAACCAATCACTTCAGTGAACATGGATTTTGTCATTTACAACAAAGACGTTTCCAAATGCACCAAAAAAAATCAAAACGAAAAAGGGCAAACCATCCCCCACAAACCATCCCCAGTCTCTCTATGAGGAATGCAGCTGTTTGGGATCCAGCCAAGTAGAAACAGAAATGTTTTACCTGCAGGCTACCTGCACAGCAGAATATGCTTCCAACTAATGTCCCTGCCAGCGCTCCTGCAAAGACTGAGCTGCGGTAAACCCTTCAAAACCCACAAACATTTGGACGAGGGTTAACATGAAAATGACAATGCATACTCCGAATTTTTGTTTCACGGTCAATGTTCAGCAGTTTCTTAGTCAGAGCTCTTCCCATAATCATTTCTTCAAGACTTAAAAAAAAAAAAACTTACTCCCGTTGTAAATCAGAACTCTGACTTTCTTACACTCACCTTACAGCTTACTTTGAAAGGGTAGAGCACACCATAACCTTTTCTTCGGTGCTCAGGGTATCCTTCTCTTTATCTGCCTGATCATATCTGCCTGGCACACTAGCTGGTTTCCTACTTCTGAGCCCCAAGAATGTTACAGGTACACAGCTAATTGCTGCGCGTTAGGGATAAATACTATATGGCAACCGCCAGCGTAAGGGACACACGTGTAAACAGAGAATTGGTATTATAGTGTGATAAAAATAATCATAAAAGTTTTACAGGGAAGGAGCAATAAACTCTCTAGAAGGAGGAGGCCCAGGCAGCTGCCTGGAAGAGGCCAGCCCCTGCCAAGTGTCGCCACGTGGACACAGGCGAAACGCAGTGACAAAAGAGCACGGCACAGTGAGTTGAGAGCTGCAGGAAAGAGTGTAAGCAGAAGATGAGAGAGGTGTCAGGAGAGACAGCCCTGGGAGTCCACATACCTCCAAGCTGCTTGGCCTTAGAAGCCAAAGAAGGGAGACGGAAGGAAATACGCAAATCCCTGGCACAGATCTGCCCTACAGGAATCACAGCCACACCCGGCCAGCAGAGCTCTGCGGCTGAGCACTGAACCAGGAGGTCACGGTTCGATTCCCGGTCAGGGCACATGCCCAGGTTGTGGGCTCCATCCCCAGTAGGGGGCATGCAGGAGGCAGCTGATGGATGAGTCTCTCTCTCATCATTGATGTTTCTCTCTCTCTCCCTCTCCTTTCCTCTCTGAAATCAATAAAAATATTTTTTAAAGAAATTATAGCCACAAAATGGCTATGGCATCAACAAATCTCTGCTTTTCTTTTTTTTTTTAAGCCAGCTCAAATGTTTGTGCATTCACAACTGCAGGTTCAAGCTTCACAAACAGTAGCACTGGAGAAGGTGATAATCATGCAGGTTAAACTCAAACCCAGGCGCAGCAAGAATCTGTAGTGTTGCAACCAGTAAGGCCAGGCCGGACCCCACTGTGATTTCCCTGAGGTACACCCAGCGGCTCCCAGTCAATTCCCACCTAAACTCCAGCCGTGTCCTGTCAGCCACAGAATTTTGTCATCAGAAGGGGTCTCAGAAGCAGCCCACATCCCCCTGCCTCCTTACCCCCCACAGGACTCACTGGCAGGCTGTCTACCTGCCCCTGCTTGCAGACTTGAGTGCCAAGGCCTTATCACCTTGAGAAAATCTCTCCTGCTCCTTCTGCACCTCTGACTCAGCCTTCCCACAGGCCATTTCGCTCTGTAGCTCCCCTCTGCTGGCATGAGAGTAAGGTGCTTTTGGCGCACCCGCCTCTTTTCTTCAGAAAGTTCTGGTGTGGCTCAGCAGCTGAGCATGCAGGAGGCAGCCGATCAATGCTTCTCACTCATCATCGATATTTCTATTCCTCTCTCCTTCCCTCTCCCTTCCTCTCTGAAATGGATAAAAACATACTTAATAAATCAAGTATAGTCCCAGAAGTGCAATCTAATAGCTCATTGAAGGCAGCATGGGTCCTGCCAGGTGTGAAGGAATCTCGCCTTGCCGAGACCGGTTTGGCTCAGTGGGTAGAGCGTCGGCTTGCAGACTGAAAGGTCCCGGGTTCGATTCCGGTCAAGAGTATGTACCTTGGTTGCGGGCACATCCTCAGTAGGGGTGGTGCAAGAGGCAGCTGATCGATGATTCTCTCTCATCGATGTTTCTAACTCTCTATCCCTCTCTCTTCCTCTCTGTAAAAAAATCAATAATATGTATATATATTATTATTATTTTTTTTTTTTTAAAGAAAAGAAATCTCGCCTGGTCAATGGGCCAGAGAAGTGGTACAGGGAGCAGCGCAGGAGACCTCGGCAGCACCTGCCTGGACAATCTCGGACCAAAGGCCGAGGAGCTGCCGGACGCTATACTTAGCTCCCACAGGAAGGGGGTGCCCCTGGGAACTCAGGCGCATGTTATTTCAATTCTCTTCTGCTGTTGAACACACAGGCAAGTGTGGTTTCCTGCAGAAGCGGCCTGAGCCGCTTTGCAGAGACCTAAGCCGTACGGAGAAGAAAGCTCCGAATGGCTGGCTATCCCACAGGTGAGGGCCCCCGCCGCCAGCTGTATCCTGTTATCCGAAGGAAACGGAACTGTCGGCTGCAGGAGGTCCAGGCCCGGGAG